CCACGGCTGGATATGCTGCTGGCCAGTGTCAGGGCTGGGGAAACAGCACAGGCTCCAGGGAAAGAACCACCGCTGGCTGGGCCACAGCCTAGGGAGACAGGCACATGAGACTTCAGGATCCACCCCAGAGCCCTCCCCTCACAGACCTGGTGGTGGGGAAGTGCCCGCTGGGCTGTAGGCCGGTTCCCATTCCGTCTGGTTTTCCGGCTCAATGGTGAAGTCTGGGATGGCAGTCGTCTCCTCGCCCACAGGGACAGCAGCCACACCAGGCCCCACTCGGGTAGCGATCCAGTCCTCCACCACAGAGGGAGTGGGTGTGCCGCCCTCTTCTTCTCCTGCAGAGGGCGCTGCTGAGACACCTAAAGAGAGGCAGGTGGTGAGTCTTCCTCCCTGCCAGGGACCCAACCCAGGGGAACTAGGGGATTTTTGAGGGGGGGCCAGGCTGGTGCAAAAACCTTGTTGGCCCTCGACCTTCGCCCGCAGCCCACCTCAAGCCCAGTAAGACGGCTCTCGTCTTCCTCAGTAAGAGCTGACTGCATCACTTACACAATACTGATCCGCACACAGCATCACACACACACTATTTCAGGGCGGTCTGGGGCATGCCGTCTGCAGAATGTATTGTACATGTAAGGCACTGTTTAAAGGTGTTATGTATATAAAATCATTTTATGCCACAACAGCCTTATGAGATAGATACTATGATCTCATGTCCAGGTGGGAAAACTAAGGCCCTGAGTTAAATGACTTGCCAGGGCCACTGGCTTATAAGGGGCAGATCCCGTCTTTGAAGGCAAGTATCTGGTGCCAGACTCTGCTCCAGGCACGATGCTGCCTTTCTCGGGGACAGAAATTAGGTTCCAAGTATGTCTGGGTCAAAAATAGGAGGCTGCTATTTAAAATCCATGAAGTCATCCTGGCACTGGTGGGATTTATAGATGTTTTCGGGGGGAAGGGGGCGCGTAACTGTTTCGGTTTAAGGAAAACCGGTGGTGGGCTCAGTTGGGAAGGAGGTCAAACCTCTTCGAAGTTACAGAAAAGACCGAGTTCACAGAGGGTCGGGGCCGTGGGGGTGCAGGTCTAAGAACGAACTGGGAGGCTAACTGGTTTGGCTTCTGTTGCCCAGAGCGGGAAGGGGGTGCTGGCACAAGAGCCCCAACACATCTTCCAGGAAGGGTCTGGCTTTCTTGAGGCTGCGTAGTGGGGCTGAGTGTCCTTTGAACTGGGTTTTCAAAGATGGCTCTGGAAGTCTGAGAAGCTGGGGAAAGCTCAGCTTTTATTTTTTTGTTACCTTTGTTTTAAATAATGATACATTCATAGGAAGTTACAAAGACACTCAGTTTTGATGCATCAGATATAAAACGTGGCCCAAGCAGTGACTATAATCTCCACCATGGTAGATCCAAAACGGGGGGCGGGGGGAGGGGGGCGGCAGATCTCATCCAGGCAGAGTCCTGCAGGGCTTGGTCATGCCCTAGCCACACCCCCTGGGCCGCTGGATGACATCACTCCCAGAACTCCCACAGGTGATGAGGACTGACTGACGGGGCAGTGGGTCCTCAGCGTGGGCCAATTAGAACCATGAATTTCTGGTGCTTAGTGAAAAGTAAAAGAATACTTTGACTCAACTTATCACAAACATATTTACAAGCAGGAGGAAACTGGGCGAGGGTATACAAATTAAAACAGCACATCTATATGTATGTGTCTGTTATCTATAGAAAAGGTAACATTTACTGAGAATTTACTATGTCCCAAGCACAATGCCAAGTGTTCTGTATGCCCTCTTCCAGTTTATCTGCATACCTCTTTGAAGGAGGAATTATTATATCACTATTTTATAGGCTAAGCAGAGGAACAGATCAAGTGACTTGCCCCGGGTTACACAGCCACTGAGCAGCAGAGCTGTAATTAAAATTCAGGTCTGCCTAACTTTAGAGCCCCAGTTCTCACTCACCTCTCTCTGCTGCTCTCTGGGGACCTTTAGGAGGATGTACTTTCCTTGGGGTCAACACCTAAGGTCATGCTAGCTCCAGAGCTTCCCTGCCCCAGAGGGGCTTTCTCCTCCTTGCTCAGAGGGACAGGGATGGTGGACAGAGGCCAGAAGGGGTGAACCCAGAGGAGTCATGCGCCAGGTAGAAAGGAGGCTGGAGGAGAGGCAGTAAAGCATACCTCGGAAGCAGAAGGCGTGGTGCCGGGACTGCGGGTCAGGGAGGCCTGTCTGGTTGGGGTAGAGGTAGACAGTTCTCACGCCTGGCTTGTCTCCGCCGCAGGAAGGCCTTGGGGTGACGATGGGGTAACGGAGGCTGCCGTCCGACAGCCAGCCAGCGTAGCACTTGTCCAGGCCTCGGCTCCAGGCGGCGTAGAGCTGGCCCGTGGAGGCCAGGGTGGCGTTGTGAGATTCACAGAATGCCAGCGCTTCCTGGAAGGTGAACTGCTCCAGGCGTGTGATGAAGAACACCTCCCCTGGGGGCAGAAGCAGGTGGGAGGTGTGACCCTCATGCCCACAGCCAGAGCAGCTCTGCTTACTGTGGGGTGGGGGAGTGGGGGGCAGGGCAACCGAACTGAGACCAGTCGGTCCCTCTGCATGGAAGCATCTTCCGTCTTGTCTAGCTTGTCCAGTCACTCTTGGGCACCCTCCCTCTGACCCCCTGTGCTCCCCTCCACCACAGGACTCAAGCACGGAGCACCCGAGGACTGGCAGCCCCAACCCCTGGGGTGGGTCCTGGAGCCACTCTTGGGGTTTGGGTCCCCACACCCAGAATTGTACCCAGGTGCCTGTCTGATTTGAGGGAAGGAATTCATGTTTACTGAATACCCACTTGTACCAGGCCCTTATCACACATATCTCATTTAATACTCACCAAGGGTGATATCAGCACAATCAGCTCCTATTTTATAGATGAGGGAACTAAGGCCCAGAGAGGTTAAGTAACTTGTCCCAGGTTCCCAGAACAAGTGAGTGGGTATGCTGAACTCTTTCCAGGACACCAGCATTTCCAAAATTGGGTTCATTGGAATAGCAATTTGGTGATGATCATTGTAATTAAAAGAAATGAAATGAAACAAAAGAAAAGATCTTTTTGTTTGTACTGCTTGGTTAAGCAGAGTTTAAAAGGTTTTCTACTGCAGGACTTCTCAGAACCTTTGATTTGTTCCTGGGCATTGGGACTTTCAATGAGACAGATGGCATACCTAACACTTATTTGTAATAATTAAAGACTCATTGATCAGCAGAACTCAATGGTTTTTAATCAGTTTCGCCTGCAGTGCTGGGGGAATCCGCATGAACCATGCGGGAGGGAGAGAATGAGCTTGACCTGAGAGAGAGGCTGGAAAAGGAACAGAACTGGGTGGTTCTTTGTGTCTCCCCAATAGCCCTCTGCCTGGGGCCCAAAATTCGAGAACATGGGCTGTACCTTCGAGCCTGTCCACGTAGCAGTAGACATCATAGGTTTCTGATGCTGGCCGCACACCGTAGGTCCTGACCCCGGGGCTGCTGTCTTTGTCACCTACACACGGAGTCCGTGGGCTCACAATGGGGTATCTGCAAAGGAGCACAGGAGGGGTGCATGGAGGCCTGTTCTAGAGGCTGGGGGATACAGGGCCCAGGGAGAGGCTGGCAGGTCTCTTGGGGACTTGGGCGCATCTTTAGTCATCTGGTGGGATCAAAACCCGGATGGAGCTCTTCTTGCAGCAAGCTCCCTGTGTGGCTGGGGGAAGGGTCTGGGGCCCCTGGGGGATTGCTGGCTTCAGAAGAGAGCCCGTTATATGGAAGGGCACTGAGTCAAGCTGGAGGGGCCTGGGGTGGGGGGCCTTGAGGAGAGATTCTCCCTGTCTCCTGGGGGTAAATGACCAAGGACTTAATGTCACCTTGGGCCCTTCCCCACCTGCTCAGAATACGCCTTGGTTCTGGGGGAGAAATTAGGGGAGGAGCCATGGAGTCATTAATTAATTAATTAATGCACAGTGTAGCAGGTGCCCATTCTGCTGGGTGCTGGACGGGTGCTGGACAGGTGCTGCTCCCCGAGCCCGACCGCTCACGGCTGGCTTTGGCCCCGGGGGCGGGGCTGGTCCTTCACCTGACGGTCTGGTCCTGCAGCCAGCCGGCATCACACTGCTCGTAGCCTGCTTCGTAGGCGGCCTGGAGCTGCTCCGGGGAGGCGATGACAGCCCCAGTGCGCAGGCAGGCCTGCTGAGCCTCCTCAAAGGTCAGTGAGTAGCGGGCAGATCCTGGGCGGTAGTGGAACACAACCCCTGCTTGGAGTGGGGGCGGGGAGGAAGAGAAGGAGAGACCAGGTAGGCTCAGGGCAGGCACTGGACAGTGACAGTGACACCGGTGACGGTGCCCAGGGAGCCTGGTTCTTTGGCTTTGAGGGCAGGGAGGGGGCCCCAGCTCCGTCAGGAATGATTCCCCTTCATCCTCTCCTTCCCTTCCTACCTCTGATCCTATTCTCAACCAAGTTGATTCCCTCTGCTTGTTCAAGCCACTCCTGAAATCCATCTCCCTGAGAGGCCCTTGGAGGACTCTTCCGCCCTGGGTGTCCCCAACCCTCCTCTTTGTCCCTTTACTCTTTAAAACAAACGCATTTTTTTTTTTTTCATTATGAAAAGAATAAGCACTCGTTACAGAACATTTGGAAAATACAGAGAAGGCTAAGGATATATTGGACAACCCCTGGCATTTTTTGCACCCGGCCCAGGCCCCAGGAGGCGGGTGCAGGCCTGAAGATGCCAGCCAGTGTTTTTGTGGGTGTGTACCAGGAGCGTTCTGGGAGTGGCCTCGTGGCTTTTACCAGGTTCTCAAAGGGGCAGAGCCTTGTCCTTGAGCTACCCACTTACCCTGCCTCTCCCACTGTTCGGCTGTGTACATTGGTCTCTGTTTCTGACCCTTCCCAAGGTGATGGATCAGCCTATGTCACACCTTCCAATCCTTGGTCTGATACTGTCCCACGTTCCTTGATCTGTCCTGTGGCTGATGCTCATCTGTCCCTTGGCACCTTCCCACACAGAGCCAATGGGACTCTTTCCAGTCCTGGCCTAACCCTGGGACCCAGCCATTTGGGGGTTACCCTGAAACTCTGAAATAATTTCTCCTTCCCAACAGATTGTACTCATTGGGGCATGTCAGGTTGAAATCCCACTTGGTGGCATCCTGGGTGTGATGGTGGGTGGCAGTGTCCATCTGCTTTTCCCCCAGAAGGGGACACCACCAAGGCCCTTACAAAAGCCACCCCAGAATGTCCTTCCTGTTCTTGGATTGGAGTTTGGGGAGCAGCTGAGCTCTATAACATCCCAAGCCTCCAGACCTTTATTAAGCCCCTGGAACACACCTTTCCTAGAAGAGGGGCTGGCAAGCATTTTCTGGAAAGGGTCAGACAGGACACAGTTTAGTCTTCGTGGGCTCACTAGTTTCTGTCACAACTACTCAACTCTTTGGTGACAGCCCAAAAAGGGCCACAGAGAGCAAACTGATGAGTAGCTGTGGCTTTGTTCCAGTCCAGCTCTATTTGCGGACATTGAATCTTGAATTTTATGTCATTTTCATTATATGACACAAAAGGTTATTCTCACTCTGACTTTGCCCCCCAACTATTTAAAACTGTAAAGCCATCCTTGGTGTGTGGACCACATAGAAACAGGTGGCAAGCTGGTATGATCGTCAGAGCTTGGTTTGCTGACCCCTGTCCCTGAAGGTCAGCTCTGTGAGGAGCCCCGGGGTCACCTCGTACACTGGTTTTCAAGCAGCTCTGTTCCGTGGCGGTGCCTGATGGGGCAAGGGGGGGGGGCCCTGGACTAAAGGGCCCCAGTTCTTGGCTCCACTCCTCCCTAGACCCATGTGGCATCCTTATCTGCTTGACACATACTCCCATTTCTACCTACGATTTCATTTGAAGGAAATGCTTTGTGGCAAAAGAGCATGGGGGTCACTCTCTGGCCCCCCTCCTTGTTTTACAAGCGAGGAGAACCAAGTCTGAGGGGAGGAAGGCTTGGCCCAGGTCTCAGGCAAAGTTGAAGGTACAGATCCTTAAGTACTCCAAGTTCTTTCCACCTTTCCCACCAGCCCCCATGCAGCCCCCTGAGGGGCGGGCACTTACCCCCAGGCAATCGTGGCCGCCCAGACACCTCAGCTGTGCCTGGGGCTGCGGTCACCTGCACGACATGGTCCTCACTGGTGAAGGCAGTGAAGGCTGGGCCGGGCGTAGCGGGAACACCCCAGGGCCCGGTGATCTCTCCAGTCCTGTTCTCAGCCTCAGGGAAGGCAGTGGCCCCTCCAACAGGGGCAAATGTGAAGGGCTCCTCGGGCTCCGGGGTGAACGTGAAGGGCTCCTCGGGCTCCGGGGTGAACGTGAAGGGCTCCTCGGGCTCCGGGACAGTGGGAGAGACACCGAAGACAGGTCTCACAGTGAGGATCACGTTGCCTCGGGCTTCACCCTCGGTGATATTTCCAGGCAGCGGCAACTCCACATCAGGCCAAGTCACGGTCTGGATGGTGATGTCCTCCTCGCCGCCCACCCCGAAGAAGTTTTCTGGGATGTCCACAAAGTCTTCACCTGGGGTGGGGAGAGAGACAGGCTTTAGTGGCTCAACCTAGGGCTGGCTTGAGGGAGATGAGCGGCAGATCCACCTCCTTCCCCACCAGGGAAGGAAAGCTTTCCGTCTCCGTGTGGCCGAAGAGTTCCAAGGGATCATGCCACGAGACACTGACCGAGTGGCTCACTGCTTATATGACCAGTCCAGCTAAACCTCCCTTCCTGATCAACGCCCGCTGCCTCCTCACCTATCTTCTGGGTACCCGATGCTGTAACTGGCCAGCAGGACAAGGTAAATCAGTTAAGAAGCAGAACTGAGAAAGCTTGCCAAGGATGTGGGAGCCCATGGCATGGGTGAAAAGGACCTAAGATCACTGCCTGCCTTGGTCATGAGCCAAAGAGTGACTGGCAAGGACAAGCCAGTCAATCATTTTAAGAAAGAGGAGACCCACAAGTGTGCTACCACTTCCAAAAGGCTGGTTAGGATATTGAAAGGTTAAGAGAGGCTTTGGGGGGAATCTTTGTTCCTTTGGCATAAATGCCTCTCTTTGGGTAAAGTCAGGCCATGAAAGCCAAACAGGAAGGAGCTAGGCCACCGTGCTGTCCCAATTTTGTCATAACAGGGACACAGCTCCATAGTATCCACGTTTTTTTTTTTCCTCTAAGAATTTAGCATGTAGTTGTTATCCCTAATCCAGACTGTGTAACATGAGATAAAAACCTTATTTTTAGAAGGTTTAGCCTAAATTTTCAAAGTAAACTGTAGGTCAACACTGTCCCCACCTGCCCACTCTTTTCAATGACCTGTGGTCCTTTTGCACACTGGATTCCAGAGGGTGGATAACGGTGCCCGCCTCTGGGGGGGGGGCATGGTTTCATGCCCGCCACCCACCCCTCGGACAGATGGGAACATTGAGGCTTTCCCTGGCTGCACAGTCGCCCATGGCAGAGCTATGACTCCAACCTGAGCAAACACAAATTCTAAGCTCGCTCTTCTAATCCTCTTCTGAGCTGACGAGCCAGGGCGGGATCCTGTCGCCTATGGTGCCTCTCCCTTAGGTGTTCTAGGAGCTAGTGACAACAGGGGTATTGAGACATGGGGTTTAGGCACCTGTGGCCCCTTGAAGGGGTAGAAAACAACCCCCATTCCCAGCTCCCCTCCACTGGGCCCCCATTCCCATGGCACAACGCCCCCCCTTCTTGGCATCCCTCTGAGCCCCACCTGTGTAGCAGATGGCGTCGTAGCGGGACGAGGGGTCAGGGTAGCCCGTCTGGTTGGCGTGCAGGTAGACGGTCCGCACACCCAGGAGGTTGCCCCCGCAGTTGGGCCGGGCCTTGGAGATGGGGTAGCGCACGCTGCGGTCGGCCAGCCAGCCGGCACTGCACACATCCATGCCGCCCTGCCAGGCCAGGTAGAGCTGGCCCGTGGTGGCCAGCCGTGCACCCAGCCGCTGGCACTCGTCGGCCGCCTCCTGGAAGGTGAACTTGTCCGGAGACGTCGCATAGAAGACCTCACCTGTGAGGGATGGGGTGGGCAGGGTGAGGATCTCTGTCCCCTCTCCTGCCCTGCATCCCCAGGGAATCCATGTGACTCCTAGGCTCCAAACTCCTGCTCTAAAGCATCCTTGCTCACGCTCTGCTGTGCAACGTACCCCCTCCCAGGGCATCTTTCCTAAGAGTTAAGCATTGTCCATGCAAGCAATCCTTTAAAAAAAATTCAAGTTGTGATGGGAAGAACAGGTATTAGGCTTTGATCTTCCCAGCGGTGGTTCCCAGATGGGGGTCTCTAGGCCCCAAAGTGTCCATAAGGGCCTCATGAGCTCTTTTTACTATTTTCACAAACCTAAGCATGTTGTGTGGAGGTAGGGGTTGGGGGTGGGCCTCTGTTTCCTGGGAAGGCGCTGGTTGTCCCCACTTAGTGGCAGCTCTGATTGGCCGCGCCTTTGGTGAGCCAAGAATGGAAACATAAATATTTGCTCCTTAATAGGCCCTGAGCACAGGGGCGAGAGCAAGGGAGCCCAGGGGTGAGAAAGCAGGGACTGTCCCAGCCTCAGAATGAGCCAGGTTGTTAGGTCTTATCTCCAGCCTGGGGGAAGCTGCAAACTTGGGTGAGCTGGGGGCAGAGGCGGCAGAGCCTGGAGTGTCAAAAGGGGTGATGTGTGCAGATGGGAGAAGAGAGAGTCTTCCACATGCCTGGGTCACTCAGGAAGCTCTGCTTGTGATCAAAATGAGCACCCTTCACAAAGCAGAGAAAGACCCCAGCTTCCTTCCTGCCACCACTGAGGCTCTCCAGAACCAGCCCACCAGGAGAGCCTGGATGATGCTGGGGGCCGGCAGCAGGGAAACTAGAGAGGGTTGAAGGACAGCCGGCTCTCCGGGGAACTACATTTCTGATGGACCCACCCTGGAGTGGCCTGGGGTGTCCTCTGCGAGGGTGACAAGGCTGGGCTGGGCTTTACTGGTGCAGTGACCCTTGGGACAGTGATGGGCTGGTCAGAGCAGCAGGGGTCCTGGCTGGGAGGGGCAGTCCCAGCCCAGCCCAGCAGAGAGACAGAGACAAAGGTTCTTGGGCCCAGTAGTGGGACCAGATGGTTGGTAGGTATCCACCGCCTGCTGAGGCTCTTTCCAAAGTGGGGAGTGAGGGGATCTGGGGGCCCGTTCCTTCCTCCCACAGGCCCCCCACCCTCTCTGGGCAAGGCAGAGAGGGGTCTGGTGTGCGCTGCCCTCGGTCTGTGCTCTGCTGCAGAGGAGGCCCACATGGTTCCTAGTATCACTGGGGAGAAGGGAACAGACAGGTGTCTTGGGAAGGGGACAGGGCCTCACCCTCCATCTCCTCAGCGAAGCAGTAGACATCATAGGTCTCATTGGTGTCGCGGATGCCATAGGTTCTCACACCTGGAAACTCATCCTTGTCCCCATAGCAGCCTTCCCTTGGAGTGTGGATGGGGTACCTGCCAGGAACCCAGAGTGGATGTTGTGTGACACTCAGGGGACAGAAGGCGTACGTGGCCTGGGCCCTGGTATCCTCCTCCCATGTGGGAGGAAACGGGGACTCACTGGTGTGTTTGCCAGCATCTGCCCTGGATATGGGGACTGTTTGTCTTTTTGGCTTTGTTCCCCAAGCTTCGATGAGATACATGTTTTCACAGTTAGTGGTGATTACAGGCAGCCCCCTTTGCCAAATACATATTGGAACCGAACATCCAGGGCCTGCAAACCTTTTCTATAGAAAGGCCAGAGAGTAAATATTGTAGGTCTTGTGGCCCGCAGAGTCTCATCTTGACCCCTCAACTCTGGCACGGTAGTGTGAAGCGGTCACAGAGTTCCCACACGACTTTATGTACAGAAACAAAGGTGGGTTGGATTTGACCCATTGGCCACCATTTGCCGACCTCTACTTTGCGTCATTTGAATCTCACGTCCACCTAACGAGGCAAGTGTTAGAAACACTCCATTTTAACCTGGAAGAAACTGGGCCCCGAGAAGATAAACAATTCGCCCAAGGTCACACAGCTTGTAAGTGTCAGAGCTGTGTTTTGAGCCCAGCTCTTTCTGGGGCCACGGTGCAGGCTCTTGCATTATGCTAGGCTGCTGTCTTGTCTTGTCTTGTCTTCCTGCTCATAGCCTTTGTGTCCTAAGATCTGAAAGATCTACCCCAAGATTGCGAAGATATTTTCCTTTGTTTTCTTCTGGAAGCTCTGCGGTTCTGGCTCTTCTGTTCAGAGCTCTGGTCCACCCTGAATGCATGTCTCATCCTGCCTCAACAGGCTCTCATGGCTTGAGATCCATCGAGGGCAGAGCTCTGTCTGTGCTGCTGGGCTACGCATCCCTCAGCAGCCGCCCGCACGGAAAAAAGCACCAGAAAGCTTAATTTATGTCTTGCCTTGTTAAAAACAACAACAAAAAAAGGCAAGGGTTTTACAAAAAAACAAAAAACACCAAAGCCTCAAGAAACTGCAGAGATCATGGCAAAGGGGAACAGGGGTAGGAAGGGTAATGACGGGTAATTTGCTCATTTAGGGTGAAGTTGCTAGCAGCTCCTGACTCTGCCACAGGGCAGACTGACAAGGATCTAGACAGGTCAGGAGTCTTCCATCAGCAGAGCCAGACATTGTCACCGGACATTCCAGAATGTGTCATGACCACCCCAGGGGCTCCTATCTGAGATGGTCTGGGACAAGGGGCACCGTTGCTTTATGGCTCACGCTACATTTTCAAATGAATACAATAAGCCCCTTTTTAAAAAAAACTAAGGCACAGCTTTCTGTGCAAGTTCTATATTCTTTTAAAATTCCTTGCAGCCACTAAAAGTATTTGCCTGGGAGCACTGGAGCTTTCTGGAAAAGCACGTGGTGAATTTTTTGCACGCAGCATAGCTGACCCATGATTGTATCTTTCCTCATAGCTCAACTGGACGGTCCCAAATCAAATATTTGCTTCCGAACAACGACATAAGCATGGTTAGAGTAGGCCAAGGCATTGCTCCAGCCCCAGCCCAGGCTGGCCACAGCATCACGGCGGCCCCAGGCCCGGGCTGCCTGACTCTGCATGTGGCCCTGGCAGCATACCTGACAGTCTGGTCAGCTAGCCAGCCGGCGTCACACTGGTGGAAGCCGTCCTCATAGGCGGCCTGCAGCTGCTCGGGGGTGGCGATGATGGCACTGTTCTGCAGGCAGGCCCGCTGCGCCCTGTCGAAGTCCAGCGTGTAGCGCGTGGAGATGGCTCTGTAATGGAACACAATGCCTGCAAGACACGCGCAGGTGGGAGAGCAAGTCAGGCATAGCCTCCTGTCATCAAAGTCCTTGAAGATTTATGGCTATGGTCAAGGGGCCTGGTCTGGGCATCTAGCTGATGCGCTGATCTCCCCACATTCACATGTGGTCCTTCTGCCTTTGCTAAAATACCTCTAGCGACGGGGACCTCACTATCTTACAGAGTACCTGTTTTGAATATCTGATAATCAGAAAGTTCTTGAATTGAACTAAAATTTGCCTTCTTTTACTTTTTTTGTGGCACTCCCAGGCCCCATATTTTCTTCAGGGAAAGAGACACTTAGAGCTCCAAGTATCCTCAGCCCAGGGGCATCCTAGTGGGAACCCTATCCTCAAACTAACCAAAGTAACCCTATCCTCAAACTAACCAAACTAACCTTGGGCCAAGGAGAGAAAGGGAACCCGGGAGGCTTCATCCCTTTCTCTGGCTTCTGGAGCTGAGAATGGGTCTGGGGTGGGAGGTGGGGGAGGGAAAAGACATCTGGATGAAAAGTCAGGAGACCACTCTGGCTCGCTTCCAGGGAAACGTCAGGCAGATCACCTAACCTCAGTTTGCTTATCTGTAAAATGGGGTTGATCACGGAATCATGGGATTGTAGCAAAGCACAAACTTTCATTTACATGTGATGATGGTCAAGATGTTTTTAAGTCCCTCAAAGTCCAGAGAGAATGACAGTCCCATCTCTGTGTTACAGAGACACAACTGAAGCTAAGTGATTTGACTCAGGTGGGTGGAAGCTGGCGGGGTAGGAGGTGGGGTTTGAAAACCAGCCTGCCTGCATCCATTCCCGTGAGCATACCATTCTGGTTCTTTCCCCAGGTGAAGCAGTGTCCCTGTGGGACGTTCTCACCTTTCACCACGACCTCTATGGTAGCCTCGCTGTCCTCAATGCCGTGCATAACTTCACAGCGGTAGATCCCAGAGTCATTGGAGCGAAGGTTCTGGATTTCCAAGGTGGCGTCGCTGGGGATGGCCGGGTAGTTGGGCAGCGAGACCTTGTCTTGGTAGGCACTGTTGACCCGCACCTGCCCTTCCGTGGCTACCAACAGGACCACCTCCTTCTCCTTGGAAATGCGGCTCCACTTAATTCTCGGGGCGAGGGGGGCAGTGGAGGGGGCGGTGGTCACAGGATGCATGGGGTCGATGAAGTAGCAGGGGATGGTGAGGGAGTTCCCCAGGAGGACCCGCAGAGGGGATGGTTCGGGGATGCTGACACTCAGCGAGTTGTCAGGGTCTGTGGGGCAGGGACAGAGCTGTTAGTGACTGGAGAGGACCACCCAGCTTCATGGTCAGTTCTGGAAATGACAAAATCCCGTGAGTGCGTCTGTATTTACGGTGTGTGTGTGGGACACTCCTGTACCATCTGGAATTCTGGGAAGCTTTGCAACATCTTTTTCAGAGCAACCTTCCTCAAGAACCCCGGTCTCCTCACCTCAAGACAGGAACTATGGGACTGGAAAAGGGCTGCAGGGAGGGCAAAGGAAATTTTAGAGCTGAGATTCCTCTTCTCTGTTTCTCAACCTGGGGTACCCCAGGGGATATCAAGCCATAAGAGAAACAGGACCCTGATCTTCCTGAAATGACAGCTTAAAGATTTGGGGGAAAGTCACTTCCGGGCAGGAAAAATTGTGATGAGGAAGAAAAAAAAAATCCACATGATGTTTAAAGCTCAGATGCAAAATGACATAGACACTTGAGGTCTGCTTTGGACTCCATCCTGTCTTTGCGGAAGGACAAGGCATTTTCTCCTGCTGTTGGGGACTCAGGGATGGGGGGCCAGCTGGAGAAGCGTCAGAGAAGAGTAGACATTCATGTACGTCCACAAAAAGTCAGAGAGGGGTGGGGGTTGGGAGTGGCATATGATCAGCTCCTCAAAAAATCACGGAGAGTATTGGCAGGGAAGATGTCACATGTTTACCAAATCCACTTAGAAGTAAAAGATCTTCCTGGAATGGGAAAGAAACAGCTTTTGCAAAAATAGCACCTTTCACGGCAGGTCATAGACTTATGGGACCCTTTTTTTTTTCCAGGAGAGCCTACAGGTTGAAAATAAAAATGTCTCAGATATTTGTGGGTGGTAAATACGTAACAGGGCAAGGATGGGGGGCAGGAAAGTTTGGGGGGGGCCCAGCCCTAAGCTTTGAGGTTCTGGACAGCCACTATTAGATCCCTCCACAAAAATCTCCCTCTGAATGCTCAGCCCTCACCCCACAACACAGCATGGTTTTAGAGCTGGCTGTTCTCCGGTTCTCCGGGGAGAGCTAAAAGTGACTGCAGGGCCCAACGCTGCAGTTTTTAAAGCTCTCATGTGACCCTATGAACTGGTTTGCCTGCGTGGGCAAACCACCCAGGTTACAGCCAGGGGCTGGATATTTGTGGGTCCCCAAGCGAGAGTACAGATGGAGACCCATATATCCTATGTATAAATATTTAAAAGTTATAAATCAAGTCCACAGATTGTTAAATAAAATATGCTCTATCTTCTTATTTGACAATGATACCTTTCAAAATGAAAAGCCAGATTCTAATTTAGAATTCTTGGATTCCCCAGCGTTTTGCACTGGGCTCTCGTGGCCAAGCAGGAGGCCGCCTTCTTTGCCAGTTCTCTGCACCGTGAGGGGTCTGCGCTTATCCCAGCCCTCACACCCCAGCTCTGTCCACACCGCACACAAACAGCCACCCCTTGACCTCTCCCTCAGGCCTGGGACGGCTCTCACCAAGAGCATGATCCTCCCTCTTGGAGGATGGGTCCTGGAAGTGGCTTGGGTCCACTTGGGTAGGGAATTTGGGGCATGCTGGGTATCCAGAGTGTGGTCTAAAGGGAGAGAGCCTAGATCGGGATGGACATGTCCCTACAGACCGCTCATCCTTTAAGGAGCACTGGGGCTGGAGGAGGGCCGGAGGGAAGCCCTAAAGTGCATGGCCCAGAGCAGGGGCCTCTCTTGCCTAGGTCTAAGGGAGATACAGCTCACTTTGGGGCAAACCCGTCCTGCAGTCAGTGGACAATTTGTTCACTTGGTTGAGGGCTCCATGATCAGAAACCCACCTCGGGCCTGCCATATGCGAAAGACCCTGCGGGGTCTTCCCGAGGACGGCTTGCCGAGAAAAACAAAGAGCTGCGTGATGTGTTGGGGACTTCTTTCTGCTTCTCAAGGAATTTTCTCTTCTTTGATGTTCTAGCGGATCCTCCCTTGGCAGCTTTTCCACTTTTGGCTTATCTATAATCCCGCCCCAACCCCAAGCTCAGCGTGTGGCGGTTTAGGGTAAGAGCCACAGAGAAGAGATGAAAAGATGGACACCCGTCAAGAGCTCTTCCTCTCGGCTGCCCATCTGCGAGGATGGCCCGGAGCGACCAGCGCCAGGGCTCCGGGGCGCATGCGCGTGCGTGCGTGCGTGCGTGCGTGCGTGCGTTCAGGCGCACGGGCGCGCTCTCCGCGCCGCTAGGGAAGGGGCAGTCAGGGCCGGGAAAAGGCCAGGAATGGGGAGCTTATATCCCTGGGAGCAGCAGCACTCAGTTCGGGACCTAGTACCGGAATCCAGTCTTCTGCGGCTGCTGGATGCGCGAGGCACGCGCGGGTGTGTCCTTACCTGAAGCTTCTAGGGAGCTGACGGCTGTGATGACTCTCAGAGTCACAAACACCAGGAGTAAAGTGGTCATAGTTCACCTGGAAGAAGGGAGGCGGAGGGGTTAGTTGGAGGTTCAGATATGGTGAGATTGGGGGTCACGTGGCACAGGACACAAGGTGACAATTCCACGGGTAGAGATCTGACATCCCATCAAGGTAAGGCGGCTGCGTGTGGTTCGAGGGGTGTCTCCTCCAAGAATCCTCTCTTCGTAAAGCCTCCACGGATGTCTCAGTTTGATGACATGTGCGAGGCTGGAAACCTCCTCCTGTCTCTTCTAGGGCATTTCCCACCTTCTGACCTGTAAAGGCTGTGTCAGAAGGATCCCTGTGATGGTGGTTGTCATGTCGACTTGGCTGGACCCTGGGCTGCTCAGATATTTGTTCAAACATCATTTTGGGTGCATCTGTGAGGGTGTTTTTGGATGAGGTGAACATTTAAGTTGGTAGACTAAGTAAAGCAGGTTGCCCTGATAATGTGGGTGGGCCTCGTCTAATCAGTGGAAGGCGTGAATTTTTAAACAAACAAACAAACAAACACTGAACTGCTCCCAGGAGAGAGCCCATTCCTCCTGCCAGATGATCTTCAAACTGCCTTCAGATTTGCACTGAAACATTGGTTCTCCCTGGGTCTCGAGTCTTCAGACTCAGGCTGGAACTATACCCTGGCTTTATTGGGCCTCCGGCTTACCTGGTACCTCCAGAATCATGTGAGCCAATTCCTTACATCAATTCCTTTCTCTATAGATGCACACATCCAATTGATTCTGTCTCTTTGGCGAAGTCTGTTATAATCCCCCAGGCCCAGAGAAATGAAATCAGTTAGCTAACCTCCTTGATAGAATACAGGCCTGCCCCCAACTTCTAATTTAGGAATCTTGTGTGTTTTTAGGATAAAGAAAGCCCGAGCTTTGGAACACAATTCACAGGGGCCTGGGTCAAGCCAGGGGAAGGACTTCCAACCAGGGAGCCCTTGAGGAAGCTTTGGGATGGGCAGATTAATCATGGAGGAGAGCAGTGAGAGCCCAGGACCCCCAGATCCCTCCTACTGGCTCAAACAATGACTTCCTGGGAATCAGAAAAGCCTTCCTTATTGTTATCTGCAGTAAAACTGTCATGCCAAGTATACAAATACATGACAACCACAAAATAAAGGCCTCTCCTGCATAGCTGGGCCCCTGACTCCAAGTGGGTCAGTGCAGGTAGACCCCAAAAAGACCCCATTAAACTTACAAGAGATCAACCAGAACAGTGGTCGTCAACCTTGGCTGTATATGGAAATCACATGGGCTTCAGCCTGGTCTTGAGGCATTTTTAAAGCTCCCTAGAAGGTTCTAATGTGTGGCCAAGACGGAGCACCACCAGCTAGAGAGTGTGCAGTCCCGTGGCAGACCCCGTGGCTGGCACCCCATGACAGGTGCCTCATGATGTTTCCTGAGTTGCTCTGTTGGTGGGACCTGCACTGGCACCTGTCCTCCCCTCCTCTCCAGTCTGGGAGCATTTCATCTTGGTTTAAGAAGTATCTGCGTCACAGATGCTCCTTGTGGGGTGGGGGGAGGGAGGTGGAAGGGATGGAGGACCTGGAACAAAGACAAGCATGGAGCTTTGGGGGGGCTGGGACAGCACCCCTGGGTTCCCCTCTGTGTCAGAGTCTGATGGCCCAGTAGGTGTCGCTGTTGGCTCAGTCACCATCAGCCGGGGGGTGGGGGGGTAGCTCCTGGGCTCCCCTCCCAGGAATGCATGGGGGAGGGGCAGGTAGGGCCCAGGACTCTGGGTTGACCCAGCCAGTTGTTTTGAGTGACCTTTCTTTCCATCACTGTCATTCATGCCACATATGTTTGTCACCTGAGAGATGGAAAGACTGTCTGTGTAGGCCCCCGCTCAGGGGACAGAGATGAGTGCGTGAGGCATGTTTCCCTCTCACCATAGGACACCTGGAAAATCCCAGAGACCTAACAAGCAGTCCCTTGCTTCTCCTCAGAGATGTTTCTCCTTCGATGCTGCCTTCCTTCTCTGGGGTTCCAGGTCCTGGCTCCGTGTAGGGCCACTCACGTGTGGCACTCCTTTTCAGGCCCAGTGTGACCAGTTGTGGGAAATTGTCCCCCAGAGGCTAGAAGGGTAAGGTGTCCCCTCCTGTCTGGGGAGGGGGCTAGACTTGCGAGCTCCTCTCTACCGAGAGCCTCCGGGATATGGTGTCCAGACACAGGGCCCGCCTGTTCTTCCCTCAGAACACCCTCCACTGGGAAGTTCTGTGTATGTTTTTGGAGGCGCGTTTCTTCCCAAACTCCATGAACAAGCCTGCCATTGTCCCAGAGGCAGTGCCCCTCTGTGGGGCTGGGGCCCGCTCTGTTTTTCTCCCTGGCCTCCACCAGGAATGGAAAGGGCAGGGGCTTGGGGTAGAGGTGGACTGGACAGAGAAACTAATTTTATTTCTTCTTCTTTTTTTAAGACAAACTTTGGGATAGAAACATTGCAATAAATATGCTCTTGTGTTTGTGTTTTCTCAGCTGTAAAGAAAATAGGGAGAAATACCATTCTGTCCAGCTTCCAAGTGTCTCCAGGACTCACTGAGTCTTTTATGGAAGGAGATGGACTCTGCCAGCCTGTCAACAGGGAAGCCTTTCTCCACGGGAAGCACAGCAAGGTGGTGGTGAGGGGACGGGGCTGGGGCAGAGGAAGGGGATTGGGGTGTCTGGATTGAAGTGAAACGAGGAGTTTGGGGGAGCATGATGGGAGGGTGGGGACTGAGGGGGTTCTGTGTGTGGCTGGGTGGGTCACCAAGGAACTGGCTTTCTCAGGAGAGAAGAACTAGGAGACCTGACAGGGGAAAGTAAGCTTAGTAGTGTTTTTGAACTGAGCTGAAGGGGTGTGTGTGTGTGTGTGTGTGTGTGTACGCGCACACACTCACGTGTGCGTGCCCCATAGCTGGAGATAGGGAAAACCTCCACCTTCTCATCAGCTAGACTCTGCCTCATGGTTGCCAACCCAGCCAGGGCCTAAGCCTTTACTCCACCAAATTAAGAGACCTGATGGGCAGCTCACCCCTTTGCCTTGAAGCCCTCTTCCAGGACATCCAATGGAGACCCCCAGACCTGAGACCCCCCTCTCTAGAATGGAGACCCCTAGGCCCAGTCCTGGCTTGGCCACCTACTACTTTAATACCCCAGGACCCAACCCCATGGCTGTTTCAAGACCAAGTGAGATAATGTACCAGTCCGGCTCTCCTATCTGGGGCGGAAACCGTGTCCCTGGCTTGGAGGTGTGGCGCTCAGCAGGCAGCAATCAACACCACTCTCCCCCTGATGTCCCTTGGTGGCAGGACTGGGTGAGCTGACCAGAAGAGGGGCCAGTGGCTGGGGTTTATAGCCATGACCTCCCTGCCAGGGATCCTGTCCACATGGCCAAGACAGGTGGTCTTTTCATCTCTAACTGAATAGGAGGGGCCCACTCCTTCACAAGGTGGCTCATGTCGTGGCTGAAGCTGGGGTCCAATGACCCACCCCCATTATAATTTCCACCCCTGAACTCCTCCCTCAGGGACCACACTCAACATGTCCACTCCTCTTTCAAGGGACTCATGCCAGATCTCCAGGGGTTCCCTCTGCTTTCCCGTCTTCTGTTCTCCCACAGACCTGCCCGTTCCTTCAACTCTTCCTCCTGTGCCCTCCAGACCTCGCCTCCCTTCCTGGAGCTACAGAAAGCCAGAGCTGGAAGAGACATCAGCGAATGGCAAGTTCAACTCCTTCAGTTTACAGGTGACGAAACTAAGACCCAGAGAGGTTAAGTGACTTGCTCAAGGCCACACAGTAAGTTGGAGGTGGAGCCAGGACCAGAACCCAGTTCTAGGGACCCGGTCATCATCGTCCCCTGTTGTCAGCTCTACGAGTCTGACTTGTGCCTCAAAGTCACCACAGCCCTCCGCAGAGTGCCCCAGCACAGAGAGAGGTCATTCAGGAAATATCTGCTGAATGCATGAATGAACAAAGGGAGGCCCGAGTACCCCAGGCCTCTGTCGGAGGAGAAGGGACGCTGGAGGCTCACATTGGTTGAGCCCACCGTTGTGGGATAGACCACTCCCATTTTGCAATCAATAAATCTCACTGGTGACGTACTTGGCCGTGTTCCTTCATGTCAGCACGCTGGTACAGCCTGTGGCTTTGGGAAGGTCACAACCCGTGTGCAGTCCAGGGGTGAGACAAGTAGGGACTTCCCTTCCCGGGGTCCCAGGGAGAACCAGCGGGACGCCAGGGCTAGGCCACACTGGCTGGGCAGAGATAACTTCCCATATCTCTTTCCAACTTGGTGTTCAACAATGGCACACAGGGAGATTGAAATTGGTCATGGGACTATCTCTAGCACGGAAAATGAGGGAACACCACAAATGACAGCTTTTGGCTTTCCCTGCCTTTTTGGGAGTGGGCTTACCAGCACACTACTGGAGGCATCTAACGCTAAACAAAGAACCAGGCTGGTTCGCCTCGCCGGACTAGGACTGCTGCTACAGCCAAGCTAGCACCTAGGTTTTCTCCTACGTATGCTACCTCTGCCATGTTAAAAAAAAAGAATTCCCTCCACATTAACTCATGCAACGCTGGGAACAACAAAAAATGGTATTCGATTCCTACTTACTGGTGAACCAGTGGATGCCTGAATTTGGTAGACTGGTTGACCAGTAGGATTAGTCAGTAACTAAGTGGCTCTGTGTCCGTGACTTCAGTCCTGGGGGAGAGATTTAAAAGGACGGAAGCCACCCATTCCCCCAGCCCCTGGCCCCCAGCAGATCACTTATCTGTGGGTTAATCTCACAATAGTGCCTCTTTTCTTGTCGTTCACAGACAAGACCCGTCCTACCTCGTGTGGCATGGTGTTGACATATGCACCTAAGACTGGGATTTCAAGACCAGCATAGAGAATAGGACAGCGATCCCATACCAAGTACACATCTAGCCAGAGTGACCCCAAGTGCAGCTGCTAATTAATGGTGGGATGGTATGGAAAGGGAAAGCCAGGCAGCTGATTCCAGTCCTAGCTCTGT